AATTTTATTTATATTCCGCTATTTTTGTCTGTGCTTATATCAATTTGATTTACATTCGATCTCTAAATTGTAGTTTGCGAGGGTAACGGGGATCTATCAGCTCCGGCAAAACACATTTCTGATAAAAGCTATCTAATTTTAAAATTTTGTCTGCCGTCCAAAACGCATCATCTCTTTCAATAATATCAATTTCTATGCCAAACAGAGTAGTATCGAAATCCAAAGTTCAAGCAGGGGTCAATGTAGCGTAGTAATTTAGAGCGCAGGTATAGCTATAGTCATACGAACGTCACAGGCCGCAGCTGATAATGAGTCGAATAAACGCGCGCCGCGCATGCATGTGTGTGTAAGTGTCGTCCTCCCGCACCGCACCGGGGGAAACATTATTCAGTGAGATGCACGATAATTCATATAAACACGCGCGTAAAAAAATACGAAAAGGCCTTTGGAAGAAGAGGTTTTATGAAAAAAACCACTGCATAAATCAATTACATATAAAATTTATTGAATTCTTCGATAATTGAGCTGTGTCGGTACCGACTTTGTCTTAGAAATTTTACACTGCTTTTATTACTAATTTACGCACAAAGTTGTGTTGAAATTGGCAATAAAAACGAATCTTTGATAGCTCGTAACTTTTTAATGACTTTTAATTTACTATTCTGTTTCCGTACAGACAAAATTAATAATGAGACAAAACGATATCATGTTTTGCTTACAAGTGGTTGACGCTACAATAATGCGAAATGAAAGGACGTAGAATCAATATTGTGATATATATATATATATATATATATATATATATATATATATATATATATATATATATATATATATATATATAATAGAGATGGGCCGAATGTGATTTGAACCGAATCCGAACTTCGGCCGAACTTCGGTTCATTTTCGCACGCTTTCTCGAGAGCGACGCGTCGTGACTTGTTTACGCATTTACTTCAAATAACCCGCCCGCACCGCAGAAACATATACCTACGAAAAAAAAACGTAACAAACTTCTGCCAGATAAGGCAGATCTTTGGTGTTTTTGCACTATAACCTGACTCTGGTAAATTTTAAATATGACTAGATAGACAAGAAAAGTTGGTTTAATATGATTGTTGAAAACAAATACCCTTTAATTGTAATAAAAATATTTGAGGTTAATGAATGTTGAATCAAAAACATTATTTTTTTATTTAATTTACGGACTCCTATCCAGATGTTTACTAGGAGAATACAAAGTTTATTTCATTTTTGTAATATGGCTAATTATTAATTAGGCAGGGATTTCTAAGATTAATAACTAATTAACTAAGATTAAGGTTAAGAACTAAGATTAAGATTAATGATAAGATAGGAACTGATTTAATATAAGGTTTACATTTACAATGTTCCGAAATAAATAAATAAATAATTGACCATGAATGAGTAAAAATAATATCTTTTATTTTACAGTATCTAATGTTGTTATATAAGGTGCTTCTAAAATATATGCTACGGTTGTTTGTATGGAGACTTGGCCAATCAGCTGACCGATTTCCATACAAAGTGCAATTTTTTTTTGAGAATTGACTATGGGTTCCTTGGGGAAAGTGGTACAGTATCATGAGTAGAACCACCAGTATGCAGCCATGGCATATTGTAGTTTAGAAGCACCTTATACTTCAGTTAAAATAAGTGCAAGTAGGTATTATTTTTCTTGTACCGAATTTCTGCCCATCCCTAATATATATATATATATATATATATATATTTTTTTTTTTTATATATATATATATTGAGAATCTAAATTGAGAATTTAAACTATACGCGTGCGTGTGTTTGTGTGTATATAAAGAGGGCTATTTTTAATATCGCTCATTTTAATTTCAAAATTTTTTAGGTTATCTTTATAGCAGTATTATATTTTCAATTCAAAATTTGTACTGCATTTGTGATAATAATAAAATGTATGTATATAGAGTACTCACTCATTTTCTTTCACTATTATTTCGTGACTTTCTTCATTAATAATAAATGCACTTTCTTCATTCTTATTCAAAACACTTTATACACAAACACCGTGTCGAAGACTGCCGAAAAAAGAAACGACGTTAGACAATGCACAGCATTCAAGCCACACCTCCGTGCCCGTCGGAGTGGGGAGCGTGAGGTTTTTTCGTTACGGCGAAATAAATTTCTGGATTCGGTCCCCACGCTCAAGGCCCGCGATAGAAGCTATGCAATAGCTTAATTATAATTTAAAAATCTCAGGTTATTATGCAAATATTACCATTTAACTTATTTTACATTTTAATAAGTAAATAATGAATTGAGTTACTAATCGTTTTTAGAAATAAAATGTCAATGTTCATTAGGTAATTCAGACAGACAGACAAAAGATAATTTTAAAAATGTTTACTCTTCTCTCAATAGTAAAGAAAATAATAAATAAATAAAACTCATCACACGTCGTAGCTCACAAATTAGTGAAATCGGTACTGATTTCTTTTGTGATATAAGCAAAAAAAGCAGCCTTTTCGCAAGTTGACTGTATTTTTAATGTGTGTTATCTCAGAACTTTTTACTAGGTGAATTTTTTGATGATTCTTTTTTTATTAGAAATTTGGTGCTTCTCATGTGGTTTCGTATAAATTTGATCAAAATCTGACCAGTTATTTTTGTGTTATTATTGATTCTTATAACAAGTTCCACTGAGGTTATAGAATGTACGAAAAACGCATATCGCAGTGTGTTTTTTACAGTGTTTACCGACGCGTATAAGTATAGATAGCGACAGTGTTCGAGCGAGAGGTGAATAGAGGCGACGCCGTTTTCAATACCATTCTTTATCCGCACGGGTAGTAGATGCGGTTTCACCCCTGAGGTTAGTTCTCAGGGTTGACAATGCATTTACATTTTGACGAATGAAGTATTACACAGTAAAATTGGTCTCCAGTACCTTGTTTCACACCGAACGAAATGTAACAGCATTGTGCTACTATTAAACGCTTGTATAGCAATAGCATAATATTGTAACATCCGTGTATTGGCAATGATCCCTACTCCATATCAACCCGTAGGTGTCGTCAGAGTCGACAGAGGGAAGAAGCTGCCACCAATCTCCTGGTTTGTTATAAGGAGATTGATAGCAGCTTCTTCCTAATACCGATTAAGAATAAAAATGCGGTTGCCAACCCTCTTGTCTAGCGTGGCAACTTTGGTAAATATCCCCCTATGAGGCAATCCATGTCTTCAGCAGTGGAGATTAATAGGCTATAGATATGACGGTATACGCTGGAATTCAGCAATAGCATAGTCCTTCCGCGATCGAACTGAACCATTCGTACTGCAATAACACAGCTGCAGCGTCTACTACGTCCAAAAACGTATGCCGTATATTTTTTCAATAATGCTACTTTTTATTTGTTGCAGGTAATGCGTTCAAAGAAGTCTTTTGTTAAAGTATATTGCGATAAAATAAAAAATATTACACAGGCTGTGGACTACTAGAGATTTTGCTTTATCATGATATGTTATGTGTTGATAATAAAAAAATAAAGCATTGATGACATGACTTATAGTAACTTTATTAATATCCTCCAGACCGAAATTTTAGTCAAGGCGACCATCCTCAACGGAGATTAACCCTAGATCACTAACCTTAAATCGGAGTAACACTATCACTAACCATTCGATTCACAGACTACGCAATGAAACTCAAATATTTTCAAAATCGTTGTTATTTATTTTATAAAAGAAACAAAAAGTTGAAAGTTCTTTCTTTAAGGAATCAAACAAAACGATGAAAAATAAACAATATTAATTCTTACAACTATTACAAATAGGATCTGTGTGCTCTCCGTGTGGCCTTTTGCTGTGTTGGGCAATCCACATATTTTTCTTGTTTTATGTAGCTCTTGTACACAGCTTTCTTGTGGCACTTTAATGTTGAGAATATCTCCAATACTCTTTTTCACATCACGCTGCAAAGTCATCATATTGTAGCGCTCGAGTAGCCAGGGTTTTATTAGTTCATCTGCCTTTTGCAAGGCAAATTCTCTCCTCTTGAGCGGTTTCTTATGGTCTCGGATCATATTGCATACGTAAACAACACACGCGTTTATGATACTAGTGTTTACAGTATCATAGAATAAGTATAACGGCCACCTATTGGTTTTGCGACCAGTGCTCATGATAGAACACATTTGATCCACCGTATCTATAGCGCCCTTTGTAGAAGAAATTAATAATTTCCGGCTTCTTGGTAACATCATTGACAGTGGTTTGATCATGGGTGGTTGATAAAAGGTAAAAAATCTTGTTAGACTTGGGCTTGTATGAAACCATGGTCATCTCGTTATCGAAGTAAAACATTGAATTGCCCACTTGCCGTGCTCTAGAGTTTTTTATTTCCTGGGGTATTTCCCGTTTGTTGCTTCGCAATGTACCAACAACTGTCAATTTATACGGAGCCTGGAGCATATCGGAAGCAAGAGGAATGGATGTAAACCAATTGTCCATAGTTAAGTTTCGATTCGAACCATGTATGGGTTTGGTGATCTTCTTCACCAAATAGCTCGCAAGAGGTTCGGTTCCTGGATTAGTTCCCTTGCCTAAATATGGAATGGCATTGCATACATATTTTGTGTTAGAGTCTGCCATCATAATAAGCTTAAGACCGTATTTATTTGGCTTATTGGGTATGTACATCCTAAATGGACAACATCCTCTGAACCCAACAAGCTGTTCGTCAATAGTTATGTATGAACTGGGCTTATACCGTTTTACACAGTTGCTTATGAATGCCTACCAAAATTGTCTGAATGGAGCAAGCTTCTCAGAGGCCCTTCGCTCTGTTCTTGTTGTCTTGTCGTCAAACCTAAGTCATCTCAGTAAGAAATCAAACCTATCACACTCATGCACGCTTTAAAAGTAATTGCACTTAGTTTGTGGTCAAATAGTGTTCTAGTGGGCAAGTGGTTAATTTCTATAGCCGCTGATTGTATCAAAAGACCCAGTCAAGCCGTCACTTCGTTAGTGGAAGTATGCGAGTTGGTATACTTCTCCAGTTTGTATTTAGACTTCTTGATGTCAATCTCCGAGTTGGTATAAGTAACCATCTCATTGATCATTTCATAGGAAATGAACAGGAGAATTAATTCTCTGGGGTCTGTTATTTCTTTGGCTACACCTGCAGGTCCAGGGACTACGTGAATCACATTACGAGAAGATGTTCTAGCTCGTGGATTGCGAGGTCTAGTAGACCATTTATAACCGCTCTTTCCATAAGGGTGATTTTTATTGGAACGGATCACAAATGATGACTCAGGCTCCTGCTGATGCTGGATGGACTCAGACCCCAACTGACCTGCATCGGATGTATTATCATCTGAATCTACAAATCTTCGCTTACAAGAGCGCCTGCTGACGAAAATCTCCTCATCAGATGACATCGAAACTTCTTCCTTACTATCATCAGTTCCTACGTGGGTATCTGCACCTTATTATCTTCGTTTTCGGATTCCGATAGTTCCTCTGCTTCATCGTGATTAGACTCGATGTCTGACTCACACAACCAACGTCGAATGCGCTCCTCATCTCCTCTCAAATCCATCTAAAAATAAAATTGAAAATCAAAACAATATCGTAAAATGGTCCAAAAATATTCATAAGGCCTGCAAAATAAATTTTCCCTTTACTTTTATTCCACAAAATAATAGTACATTATTCCTATTTTACAATTAATAGGTAAAAAACCGAGTAGCGTAAAATATAATAAAAGTAATCTTGAAAATAGAAAAATATTATAACTAAAAATAATGTTACACAGTCACTAACCTTTCGTCTGTCAGACGACGCGACGACTGTACGTCCTGTTCCAAAGCGAGTGCGACCGCCACAAGTGCACACGGGTCACTAATAGGACCAATCAGGAAGGTACTGAACGGGGGAGGGAGTGCGGGTGCCGCGAACCTACCGAACTATGAAATGCGGGGGGTTCGTACAATGCGGGGGGTTTTGTGCGTGCGGCGTGCGTGCGTGCGTGCGTGCGTGCGTGCGTGCGGTGCGTGCGTGCGTGCGTGCGTGCGTGCGTGTGTGCGTGCGTGCGTGCGTGCGTGTGTGCGTGTGTGCGTGTGTGTGCGTGCGTGTGTGGTGCGTGCGTGCGTGCGTGTGTGTGTGTGTGTGTGTGTGTGTGTGTGTAAGTACAGGTGCACTCTTTATTCCTTTTCCAAGTATTTTATATGTATATCAATCTAATATAATATTCTAGACTAATGGTCATGGTCATATCTAAGAAGACACGTGATCATGTTTCAATTAAGTAAATTATTATATTTTGTATAAAGGATAATAACTTTAATTTATTGTTGTAATAATTGTTTCCTAAACACATAATTGCTACAAAGCTGCGATATTACGACTTCCTTAACTATGCAATTGTGGTCGTAGCTGAAAGTGTTAAAAAGTTTTCATCGTACAACTTCGTTAACTCTACTTAAAAATTTCTTATTAAATTATAAATATTCTTAATTTATTCCGTACTCACTGCTCTATCAATATATTCTGTTCATACGTAATTTTTAAGAAGCCTGCATATCTAGATAATAGAGTAAAATACAGTGATAGTCTATTTTGAGGTTGCTTCCTATAACCTCGTTTAAAGTGTATTTTAACGTGGTAAAAGTACGCTGCAACTATAAATATTGTGGTTTCACCACGAATGGGTCGACTCATCCAGGCAAAGGTGGCTGGATTTTAACTCTTAATAGAGGATAGATTAAGATGGATTTCTATTGCTCACAACACTACTATGAAATGGTATGTGGACTCGTTTGTCACATTCACCTCTGTAAACAAATAATATTATCCATATTTAACTATGCTTAAGAATTGCATGATTTAATGCTTCGCTCTTCGTTTAGTCTTAAACAGTCTGCCTCTCGCTGGACTGTCTTTATTGTTAGATAAACGTTATTTTAAAGTTCTTATTGTTTTGTAAAAGAATTATTATGTTATTATGATATATAGTATTTTAGTACTGTGCCTGATTACTGCTTGTGGGCTTGTTAGTGGCGCTGACAGAATAACAGCGCAGCAGCAATGATTCAGCAGCATAATGCTGAGTCAACTTAAAGATCGCGTGCAATGCGTCAACGAAAACATGTAGCAGTGGGCTCTTGAGGGGGAGAAGCTGGTGCGAAAAGCATACCGGTCTGTAACTGCACTCATTGAAAGGAACCTGGTGCAGACATTCATCGATGGCATCCGCGACCTTGAAGTCAGAGATGCTGTGAGGCTTGTGCACAACGAGACGCTTAAAGAAGCCTTGGCTAATGCACTGGAGGTGGAAGCCGTGCGGCAGGAACATCGATCCCATCGCATCAGGGAGGTTGCAGCAGCTACAGTTCGCGACCTCAATAAAGGATACAGCCCTAGGCGCTATGGCTGTGGGGAAAGGGGCCATCTTCGATCCAATTACCCTAAGCGAACTATAGAAAGGGAAGATGATCGATCTCGAGAGCGTAGTGCGGCTAAAAGCACCGCCCAGTAACAACAGGCAAACGATTAAAAGAGAACGAGTGGAACAGAGCAGAGTGTGCACTTCTGTTTCGTGACAAGTGTTTTACCACCAGTAAGTAATTGTTTTGACAACAAAAAATTAATTAGTGACTTGGCTAGTAATATAAAAAGCATATTTCTTAAAATTAAGAAAAAAAAAAACTGACAAATAAAATTCGTCTTTTTTCTCTCTCAAATAAAATCGTGCATAGCATATTATAGTAAATCACAATTTATTGGGGAAAGAATTCCAATATCTTATATGTAAACTTAGGCATGGAATAAATACCACTGGAAAAGGACTGTGAAGGGATTCGAGCGGAAATTTATAGCAGGCGATAAACATCTCAATTCTGCGTAGGCATTTTTGAAGAATACATTGGCTTGCAGTGTTAAGCTGTATAGAGAATGACTATCATTATCTATGTCAAATGATCCATCACGTACCCTCTACGCCTCCACCACAGACTCCCTTGTGTGTGCGTGTGCGTATACTTCGCTGCTTCTCTGTGTGAGTGTGTACCTGTGTGCCTTTCTACTTGTTATTTATTCTACTCCATATTTCTTTATTGATTTTCGTCAATTATAGCTTGTAGCATTAACAAATCACATCTGCCGAGATTCCCATGACGGCCACCTTTTCTTTTAAATTACTTAACCCTTACGCTGTTGTCTATAACAAAACGATGCATTTTGAACTCTGCCTACCACCACGAGAATTACAGGCTTGACGAATTATTTATTTATATATTTAAATGATTTGCAAAATCTATAATAAATAAATTAACTTTCCGGATTAAAAGAATTAGATCCAGTTTAACAAGTAATCTGATAAGTTACTTCTGCAGTGTTAAATAGTAATATCATAGCATGAGTTTGACGACTTAATAGTAGATTTATTAAAAAATTTCATAATTTTTGTTTATTTTCTTCAACCTTTTAATTGAGGAGCGTTTAATGTGTTTAAAAGTGTGTTAATTATATTTTAATCGTAGCAGTTTTCATGTAATTGATGTATACATCGCACTGTGATAATCGTCAGCAGAGCTTACGCCGCGGAGTAAGATTACTCTTATAATTGCGTCATTTCAACACCTTTAAAACGTGGCATATCCCTTTATTATCCTGACTATTTTCTTTAGTATAAGCATTTGTTACTTAAAGTACCCATTGCGTGGTTTTGTTACGATTACACTTTATTGGTGATTTTAAATGAATACAGCTTAATAGATTTAAGCTTGAAAGCCATCAATTACGATAGCCACGAAATGAAATGTGGTGATGGAATCCCTCAGGCCGCCACCACACAGTCGAAATACAAATTTTCTAAGTTTATACAGTGCGGTTTAGTAGTTCGCTGCGGAGCTTAAGTCGTTTTAATCTGATTACTAAACTTTAAAGTTATAAAATTCAAAGTCATTAATACTTGGAGATGTGTTATCACCCCTGAAGACTAAGTGCCTTATTAGCAGCACAAATGCAGTAGCAATATGCTGGTATTCTGTGAGAGCATGATCCTTCCGGGGAATTAAAAAGCTTAGTAAAAACAACAAAAAATAGCGTCTCCTGGCTTATTTTCAATCCTAATATTTTCAATATAACTAGTATGACCAACGGGCACACCACCTATCTGATGGTGAGTGAATGCTGTGGCCCATAAACATATAAATTAATCATCTATTAAGAATCAAATGCAGACGCGTTGTCACCTTTTAGAACTAAGATGGATGGATGGAATGCCTCGTTTGCAGTAAAAAGGGTTTTCATACGAAACAGCAGTATTAAACTGCTAGTTTACGTTCGTATTCTGAGGGAGCGCGCCATTCGTGTTACAACCATAATATAGTTGTCACATGGCTCTACCATACATATAGACCTAATAGACTGCAGACGCTGCAAATGTAGTGAAATCAAATCCTCATCCTCTATGCTGCAATGGCTTCGTTCATCCATAAAACGCAGGAACTTTTCTCCCGAGATGCTTTAAATTGCCTATGCCTTTTTTGGGTTAAACAATTATGGTTTACCTCTACATTGCAGAAAGTGCATGGAAATATCATTATCAAATTAAAGTATATCTTAAAAAAAATTGGAGAAATTCAAAATCAACTAAAAGTGCGAAAACAACCATCCAAATTATTGAAAAATTGTTTTATTAAGTCAAGTGGTGGGTGCCAAGCGAATAGTTTGTAAACCTGGCTTAAAAATATGACAAAATAGAAAGAACATTTTTCGGGTGTAGATAACAAGCAAAAGTTTTTTATTAGACAAAACCTGTTAAGATTGAATACAAAAAGGGTATTACTTGTCTTTTTAATAATTGAGATAAAGTAAACTTCTTAAATTGGCTTACATACTAATCCGGGCTAACTTCAGCTTTTCTAACTTTATAAGTATAATAAACTTTGACATAATTATTAAAATTAAGCGTTAATTTATGGAAATTTGTTTAATGAAAATAAACAATTAGGTTTCAAATAGAAAACAATATATCAAGTGCTTCATAGTAACTGGATAATGATTTCTTAATCTCCATCTTTATCATAATCTTAATCTTAATATTTATAAATTACGTGTCACGTTGTTTGCCCGCGATGGACTCCTAAACTACTCAACCGATTTTAATCAAATTTGCACACCGTGTGCAGCTTGGTCCAACTTGAGAGATACGTTAGTTTTTTTTTCCGATAAGTGACCCAAATTTTTTTTTGTGAATTTAAGGTTTTTTAATAGGAACTAAACTAACTGTACTGAACTGAACTAACTTTTTAATTTTTTTTTAAAAAACGTCTGCCGGGCAAGCTAGTATTATATAAAATCAATTGCCGTCCGTTAGTTTTGCTAAAACTCGAAACTGGCTCGACCGATTCTGTTAAAAAAAATTGTGTGTGTG